CCCTCCAGTGATCCTTCATCCGTACACCCTAAAGGCTCTTTTAAGAGCCACCACGTTCCACAAGAGAGCTGTGGCACTTTTATTGGTGCTTGGATACAGAACTAAATCATCCTGAAGTCCTTTTCAGGTAGTTTAATGTTTTGGAACTGTTTTATAAGTACCAATACTCCCGCCATTAAGCTTGTTTTCTTCCCACCCTTCCTAGCTCTGTGATTAGAAATATGTAATCAAGCGTACAGAAAAAGTAACTGCACAAATCAGAAGAAGGAGTGCTCAAGTAAGGTAAATGAAAAATACTTCCCATTTAATAATCATGGTAACTGCTATAATTAAATAAAAATATTAGTACAGGAGGAGGATGATAATTCTTCCTTTACTGCCTGCCTGCACTTGATAATTACTGTGAAATGTTTTAATTTGCCATGGTTTTATAGAACAGTGCTGGTTTTTACATTTAAGGAGTTTGGAAGCCATAGCCTGAGTTAGTATTGGAAGATAAGCTTCAAATATTTTTTATTAAATATGAATGTAAACATACTCTATCAGTTGCTCTTTTTAAGACATACTATACATATCTTGCCCCTGTATTAGATAAGAGAGCCCTATCTCTCTACATAAAAGTCTTCTCTACGCTAAAGTGCTGAGAAGATACACCTGGTGCAAGGGATAAAGCTGAGGAAATTCAATAAATTTGTCTAATGGTGATTTATATTCTCAATTTTCATTGTCTACTTTATGACTTTGAGGAAAGGGTGGAGCAGAGAATGAAGGGCAACTTGGAAAGAGCAAAGGGAACCTGGTGGTTGTTCCTTGGAAGTGCACACTCCCATTTTCCAAATACACAGAAAGCACTGGCACAGGGGAAATTTTCGTGGCTTTTGTTTGGGACCAATGCAGCTGTGGGAAAGGCAGCGGCTGTCAACCCTTGGCAGCTCTGTAATCAGCAAGAAGCCTGTAGGAAGTACGCCCATATGGTTTTGAGAATTGAAAACAAGCGTTTAGTGTTTGGTGATAAAAAAGTGGAGTCAGTAGAGGAATACAAACAGGGGGATCAGCATTAGTTAAAAGATTTAGTTACAACTTAAATATATTTATAGTTTTAAACTGTTGAAGTTTGCAAGACTTGACACAATCAACCAGGAAAATGAAGTGAACTAAAGGCCAGCTGTAATTTCCTGACTACAAGACTTTATTGAATCAGCTACATCCTAGCAAAGGTGGATCTGCTTTTAACACTCACCCAGGCGCTGCAAGGAGCCCTTGCTGATGATACCAGACCGTGGAATCTGCTCTCAAAAGTGATAGAGGACATTATTCATTGTAACTGATGTGTAGTCAGTATCCTGCTTCTGCTCCCAGGTCAGGTATCAGTGCTACCCAGTGAAATTGCCAAAAAGGACTGTGTGGGATTTTACTGTGTTAACAAGATGGTACTTGTTCCTTTTTTTGTTTTTTGTTTTTTTTTTTCCCTAGTTAACATCAAGTATGCTCTAGGACAACTGAAGCAGTAAAAGCAAGAACTGCGGTTATACTTTTGTCATCTGACTTCTAAGAGAACACAAAACTTTTACGGCCTATTGGAAGGTTTCCTTCACTCCCCAGGCTTTAAGTGCATGGTCTTTTCTCACGTGGTGCTGCCTCAAGAGAAGGAGAAATCTTAACTTTCCCATAGCACAAAACTTCAACTCCAAAATCTGCCATTTGTTTTTCTACGTCATTTGAGTTTCTTTTATTCTAATTCATAATAAGCTCATAAAAGTTTTAACTTTACATGCAAATAAATAGAGGTGGAATCTGTCTTTAAAAAATACATGTTCTTTTTGAAAAACATGAAATAAAAATATAGACTAGGTCCTCTGTTCACCGTAGACTGCACAGCCATTCCATTCATCACTTGGTAACGTTGTAGCTCTCTACTTCCTTTGCAACCTGGTTTCAAAACGAGCCCATGAAGATCCACAAGCTCCTTGGGAAGCCTTTATGTAGAGGTGGGAAGAAAAAGGGGGGGGCGGGGGGGGGGGGAAACCCCAAACCAACCCTAATCTGGGCTGATTGTAGCACGCAGCAAGTCTCTCCACCTCCTTTTCTCACCCACCCCAGTGCTGCTCTGAGAGATTGTGTCTGTATTGCAGCAAGCATCTCTAAGTGAAAGCATGTTAAGGGTGCTCAGAAGCCTCTAAGGACAACAGGTAGCAGATTTGCCTTCTAATAGCTCCATCGGTGCTGCTCAGGTCTGTTACACCCCAGGTACCAACTGTGAACTTTCACAGCTGGGGAGAAGACAGGAAGATGTTTCCCAAAATTGTGGTAGAAACAGCGGTTAGTCTCTGTTTTGATTCTGAGGCCTAATTCTCAACTTCCTATTTTAATGCTTAGGCTCTTGTTAAGCTGGTCGGTCCCGTGTGCGTGTCTCACAGTCACTATTCGAAGAAAGGTAGGTCCTTACAAGGAAAGATGAAAGACGCATACATATACATAAAACCTACCAGCTTATTCTGAAAAAAATCTAGAAATCTAACTGCAGAAATCTGATGACTTAGCATATTTTCTGACTGTAAAATCTTGTGATCACTACCTGGGGAAGTGCAAGCTTAAAGACAAATACATGTACACTCGTTATTGCAAGAATACAAGAATTTCCACTCCAGGATTTTTATAAAACTCCTATTAAAACTATATTTCCTCCGCCCCCCCACTCCCAAGAAATCAGGAAACATGTAACCTTTTTTCCACAGTTTTATATTAATAATGATAATAAAGCCAGATAACTTGATAGTTCTTCCTGTGTGTGGTACTTTCCATTCATAATTTCTTGGCTTTTTACCCATGTTTCTGTGCTGTGAGAAAGAAGCCTCACGCGCTCTGTCTCTTCAGCCAGGTCACGCAACATTTAGAGACCGCCTCAAAACTGAGCTTAGGAAACATATTTTTGCTGCTGGTCTTGGTGGAGCAAGAGGGCAGCCCCCTTTCAAACAGACGGCCTTACTCAGGTTCAATGGCAACACAATTCCAGAGAGCTGTGGGAAGTTTCTGCTCTTTCCTTGACCTAGCCAGCTGGGAAAGGTTAAAGCACAGAGTTCCTGAGCCTGGGCCCATCCCAGACAAGCCATGTCCTCCCCACCACCTTCTCCCTCAAAGCTGTTTCAAGTCCGGCATAGTCACAGCAATGCAAAACCTCCCTGTGCCTGATATTCTCTACTCACTGTGCTTTATTTAATAAATTGACCTCTCCCCTCCCCATGTCAATAAAGTGCCTGTTACCTCAATTCTGTATTTGCGAAGCACCCTGGTGAATTGCAGTGCAGGAAATTGACAGCCTTATGAGGCTTATATTGGATGATGGTTTACATGCAGGCAATGTGTAGGCAAAAGTGAAAAAAAACAACAACCCCAATCAAAAACAAGAGGAACTGGGTCCACACAATCAAATGCGACAGTCTAGGAAAAACACCCCATTGGATATTTCTAAAGCGTGCCCGTTTAAACCAGTGGTACAGCTCCTTTTACTGTTCATGTAGTGGCTCTTAAAAGAGCCTTTGGGTCTGTGTGGGCGGGAACGGGGGAGGGGCTGCGGCCGGAGGCAGCTCAGGCGCGCTCCCCGCGGATGCGGCGGGCCAGCTGGATGTCCTTGGGCATGATGGTGACGCGCTTGGCGTGGATGGCACAGAGGTTGGTGTCCTCGAACAGCCCCACCAGGTAGGCCTCGCTCGCCTCCTGCAGCGCCATCACGGCCGAGCTCTGGAAGCGCAGGTCGGTCTTGAAGTCCTGCGCGATCTCGCGCACCAGGCGCTGGAAGGGCAGCTTGCGGATCAGCAGCTCCGGTCTGCTTCGTGCGCGCCATCACCAACCACCACCAATCTCTCTCCGCAGGAGACGGGAGGGAGTGCTGCGGGCTGCGCAGCGCCGTTGTTTATAGAGCCGCCTCGTCTCTGATTGGACGACGGGAAACGCGATCTCATTGGGTACCGTGAAAATCCAGCCTGGGCACAAGGACGCCGGGTTTGCCGCTTCCTGCACCCCCACTTTCCCCCACCCTCCTCACTCCCCGCTCCGAGTCCCGGCTCCCTCCGTGCGAGTCCAGGGCCTGGGGCGACGGCAGACTGGTGTTTCAGGCACAGCGCTCGCATTGCTTCAGGTTCTCCGGCTGTCACTCTCCATCATGCTCCTGACAGATTAAAAGTCGTGTGGAGTCAGAAATTCAGGGGCTGTTCTTCGAACCACAAAATTGTTTTAACAGATTTTTTTTTTCTGGTGGGCTGATTACAAAAGAAACAAAAAAATTCTTCAATGCCTTCAGTGTCTCCCTCTTACAGGAATAGGCACGTTATCCCTAGAGCCGCAAAGGCACTGTCACCTGGTACCCCAGAGCACAGAGAGACGCTTAAGTAATCCTGTAATGCAGGTTGGTAGCTGTAATAATTGGGATGCAACTCTTCAGCTATTTTTCTCCTGCTTTTTTCTACAGGAAATGTGGCATGAGAGATAATATGTATCATCGGGTAAAATTGTGACTTAGACAATAAATCTATTTCTGAAATTAAGAGCTTAAAAAGGAATATGGAGTTACTCTATTTAATTTGCCCCTACTCGTTAAAGGGTGTGAGAAAACCCGAAGTGACCGCGAATATTTATTGATCGCTGTTGTTCGTGAGTGTTCAACGACCACGGATCCTTTTACATAAAGCTGAAAAAGTAGTTTTGCCTTTTTTTTTTCCCCATCCGATGGTGAAAGCAACAGGACTGCCATGCTTTAGAAGTGCTCCACGGACGAGAGTGCAGGAGAATTGGGAGAAAGAAAAGCCTTCACACAAGGCTCCTTTTGGCGCATTATCTCAAATGTGTTGCTGGGGACGCACTTTTCAGTCATGTCCTCCCCATCTCCCTAAATATGTACGCTAGAAAACTCTATTAGATTTACCTCTGGAATTGCTTTTAGAAAGAAAAAAAATATTGACAAGAAACTGAGGACAGTATATAGCAAAAAAATCCTGTTTATTCAGGAATATCAGAAAGCAAACATTTAGCTCAGAAGAATTTTCATCTTGTTCTCTAGGTGACAAATGGGTTTCCCTTGCTTCCTAGCAGTGGGATTTCTACTCAGTTACGTGAAAATTTTAAAGTACGGGTCATTGAATAATATTCCAGACAATTGTGGTAGAATCGGCAAAGACAAAAAAAAAAAAACATAGAAACATTGTTTTCACGAGAAAGGGCACTTGAAATCATTTAGTGGGGTACATTTGCAAGAGAATTAAAAGGATATAAAGGAAAAAGCGGCGCTCTCACACAGCAAAGACAACCTCCGCACTCAAAAAATTGTCATTGGATTACATGTATCTAAGCCTACAGTTTTTTAGCAATATTCTGCAATTTTCAGTTTAACTAAGCTTTAGAAGTCAGACGGGAGACGCTTCAGATTTTAGACAAAATGCCACAGCTCTTCTTAAGAGAAAGTAGGTGGCTCTGAAAAGAGCCTTTGGGTTCTGGAAAGTACGCAGCACGTAAGCGCTTCAGCCGCCGAAGCCGTAGAGGGTGCGTCCCTGGCGCTTGAGGGCATAGACCACGTCCATGGCCGTGACCGTCTTCCTCTTGGCGTGCTCGGTGTACGTGACGGCGTCGCGGATCACGTTCTCCAGGAAGACCTTCAGCACGCCGCGCGTCTCCTCGTAGATGAGCCCCGAGATGCGCTTCACGCCGCCGCGCCGAGCCAGGCGGCGGATGGCCGGCTTGGTGATGCCCTGGATGTTGTCGCGTCGCTCCAACAGCATCTCCCCGCTTTCCCCGTCGCGCTCCCCGCCAGCACAAAAATGCGGGTTTGGCAGCACAAGCGATTCGGTGCTGCCGTCCTTTTTTGTTATATTCGATTTTTGTTGTTTATTTTTTTCCAAACACCAAACACATTGGGCCTGTGTGCATAATAGCTTATCTATTTTTAAAATCTTTGATACGTCGTGGTCATTTAGAAATAAAATCTCGATCATAGAAAGGTATTCCAGTTACTGCATCTCTTAAATTACTCTTTTTACTGTTACTTTAAAATAAGGGTACGTACTACGTATTGCAATTGCACCAGGCTGCATTGATTCTCACATGTGGCTTCAGTGTTTTAAACAGCTGCTCCTCTTGTTTTTTTTAAGGGAGCATCTTGCAGTAAAATCTGTCCAATCGCCTTTTTGAGAAATTCCACCCCTCCCCGAATTTCTTTCTCATCTCCATATCCCGCCCCTACTGAACGCTTTCTCAAGGAGATTTTAGCAGTAAAGGTACGCTAATAGAGATTTTAACCCTTATGTGCTCCACCTTATGTTTTTAAGGTAAAACGATTGTTTTGGACGAATAATTTTACAGTACTTCCCATTCTTGTGGTGACATTGAGAATAACGTGGCTATTTTTCAGATAAATTTAAAAAAGAAATGTAAAAGTAAGGATGTTATTGGGTGTCAGGGGAAGGTATTCAGCTTTGACTTTGATTTATTTTGGGGACGAATATCTTCTAAGATTTTACTGTTGAAAACACGAGACGCGATTTAATAAAAATCGCGGCAATAAACACTCAGTAGCTGGCTTTCAACCTGAAAATGAGCAGGGTGAGATAAAGTGTTTCTAGTATTGAGCGTTTGCTGCTGCCCTCTCATGGACATTGGTTTGGTGTGGGGTTTTTTTTTCAATTTGAAGTTGAGAGGCTTTATATAATCTATATTTACATAAAAACTCAATATTAAATTAATCAATAATCTGTCTCCATTGCTGACTTTTCATCGTTGGATTTCACATACTCCTCACTGCCCCATTTGGCTGTTGCATCAGTTTGTTGGGTTTGGCATGAAATGCAGCAGGCCTGAAACCAACATTTTACCACACCAGACAGAATATGGTCAGAACCTGTGTATGAGAATTCATGGACATATACTGAGTAGCTCCCAACAGCGTCTGAATGAATATTTATTATTTTATGTGTTCCTGCTGTTCGCACGTGTCACTGGGCACATGTTGGCAGCTATAGGGCTGCTACAGGGCTGGGGCTCAGCTCGCTCCGCTCAGGACCCCTACCTCGAGCCACCACCGGGAAACACCTCAGGACAGCAACACTTTGCTGCTGGGGTCCAGCCATGGTCCCGTTCACGAGCTGACTTGTTGAGAATTCAAAGAACAATATCAGGTAAGAAATTTTTTAGTTAAAATATAGTCCAGGTTTATGAAAATTATATGGTTTGATGACTCACGACAGCTGAGGCCTGCTCCTGCCTGTTGTCTCTTCTGAAGATGTAAATTTATTCTTTTTTATGTTTTTTCTCACTTCTCTCTGATCTTGGCAACTACAGCAGCTATCGCACAAAAAAGACTTTGAGGATTTTGTGCTACACAGGAAGGCAAATATTCCTGTTCCTTTTGATCACAATTGCTTGCTTGAGTTTTTTTCTAGATTATTTCAGTAATTCTAAAGACTTCATGTTTCTCATTGTTTACCTCAACATACTGAGCCCTATTTTCTTGAATATAATCAAACAAACCCCAGAAGTCTCCAGCCATTCAGCTTTTTCAACAAACCTTTTGCCCTCAGAACTCAATTTCAAAATCAGAATTCAGAGCTCATTCCTTCGTTTGGTGAAGGCTTTCTCGCATCCCTCACGGTAAAGAAATTCTTCCTTGTATCTAATCTAAATATTCCCTCCTTCTGCTTGAAGCCATTACCCCATGTCCTATCACTACATGCCCTTGCAAAATGTCCTTGTCATACTCTAGTCATTAGTTCTCCTGTCTTATGTATCTGAGTCAGGAGACACATTTTCTTTAATCTTCCTTTTCTGAGGAAAAAAAAAAGTTTCCTTGTTGCCATTGTGTAGCTTGCTTTTCCTGCCAAAGCAGCTAGGATTTTTGGGATAGTTGTCACACAGAGTGCTTATTCAGATTTTTTTGATACTGCACAAGAGGAAATATGTCTGAAACATAACCCCTCTTCATGAAAGAAATCTCCTGCCTCAGGACTGCACAAACTCTATCGTCACTAGATCCAGTCATGGCAGGAGAGCAATGCTGGTGATAGTAAAATGTTCTTTATGACAGAAGAAGAAAAATATTTAAGGGGTTAAGAACAAAGTGTCCAAGGGCAGGCAACCAGGGAATGGGCACAGAGTTCTGTCATGAAGATGGTAAATCTCTGGAAAGAAGTGTCAAAGCACTGCAGTGGGAGTTGCAATGGCAATGCACATTTTCAGTGCAGCTGTTACATACAAGCGGGCACAAATATGCAATATTGAAACCCAGTATATACAGCCTTGATTGACTAGTGCCAGCATGCACTGGTTGCTGAAAGAGCAACAGATATTCCTTTATTATATGGCTAGTGCAGATGCTGACCTATGCTTTGTATATTTTTGTTGATTTCAGTGTTTTAAGAGAACAGCAATGCTATTATTATTAATCTACACTTCATTCTTTCCACAGCTCCTGGCAGCCCATTCCTGAAATCTTTGAAAAGTAAACCCTGCAGTCCTTGGGAAAACCAAGCACTGGGGTTTCACTGATATCACAGAGGGAGGCCTACAAGACTGATGCACTAACCTTGCAAGGCAATGGAAGTGCAAGGAGATCACAAGAAACAATCTGCAAAATGAAAATTGGAATGAAACCCAACTCCAAATACAGAATGAGTTGTCCAAAATTGAGTATGTAGAGTGAATGAGGATTCCAGGAGAAGCCACAATGATGGCTTTGACAACATGTTCTGGAGAAGAGGAATCTCAAATCCCCACAAAGAAGCGTGGCTGGTATCCCCCAGTGCCCAGCACTGGTCTGGATGCATTGTGATCTAGGTAGTAAAAAAGAAACTTGCAGAGATAAAACTCTGTTGTGCAACTTTACTAAGTCAAAGTAGCCTAGGTGAAAAGTGGTTCTGTACCTGAACTCAGGCTGGCCCAAACCTGTACTGCCATGTGAGCAGCAGAGAACAGGTCTGGTATTAATGATATTCATATCGCATTCTGACTTTCGGGGACTCCACACTGGCTGTCCCCACCTTCCTGTCCATACACTATAGCTGTCTCCCCACTCAGCTCCTTCCTTTTGAGAAGCTATAAACTTAGTCTTGAAATGTACATATTTACATCTCTCCATTTGTTCAGCCCAGGATACTATGCAAGGCTTTTTCCCTGCTTTGTTCATCTTAGGGTACTCACTACTACTGACGAAGTGCAACCACAGTGTATCCCTGTTTTAAACATCTTTGCACCCGAACTAACATCGTTCAGCTTTTTATTGAAGAAGAGCTTCCAATTTTCTAACAAATGCAGAAGCTTTTTTTTTATGTTAGTATTGCAATATTTTCACTTGAAATAAAACTCCATCTTTGTTGTTTTTCAGAAGTGAGCTTCTAAGAGAGACCTTCTTACTGTTTTGCAAAGACACACTGAGGCCATGCAGAAAAAACCTCTTACTCTCACATGACAACAACTACAGTAAAAGACACAAAAATACACAAAATACAGGAGTAACAGAACTCATAAACAGAGAACAAAGAGATAAAGAAATACTTGTACAGAAATGACTTGGTTTGTGGTAATCTGACAGGCAATCTGACTTTGTGGTGACTGATGTTAATGAAAAATTCTGTAACCCCATAATTCAAAAGTGTTCAACAGTACAAAGTGATTTGTTATTCTGTGAGGGAGTAACTTTTGTTCAACAGAATTTTTGCCAGGCTGCTGACAGTCTGTGCTGATATATGGAGAACTTTATCTAACTCACAGATTCTTTTGCATTTTTTCTTTCTCGTTTCTACCTCCAGTGCTGGAACACCACAGACTTCTGATATCATGATTTACTTAGTATTTAAATCTGTGAAATCAAAAGTTGACCCCATGGAAGAGAAAACAAATGAAATAAAATCTTCCTTGTAATAATTTGCAATTCTGGACCTATTTTTTGACCTTCCTCCTATATTTTGAGTGGCTTATTCAGCACTTAAACTAAAAAAGTGGATACTTTGGTTTTCTGTCTCAGCATGGGCACTCACTAAACACCAGACTTTTTTTTGCCTCCTGTTAAGCCACCTCCGCTTTGGCCACCAGCAGCTCAGTTCTCCATGTCAAATAGTCACACAGAATCACTGATCAACCTGATTCCAGTCTAGTTCCCAGGTCAGAACTATTCACAAAGGACAGAATGTTTTTTGTGCCTGAGATCCTAAACCTCTGCTTGACATATTGTTCAAGGCAGTGGTATTCATGTCCCTTAGAGCCCGTAGTGCGGGGAAGTGTCCACACAGTGAGGGCATTGCAGAAATTTAAGCTATCTGCTATTCATCTCAGAATATGCATTAGTCTGAGCACTTAGAAAATGTGGAGCAGGCTAAGGCCACGACATGGCCTACGTAAAAACTTCAGTAAATAGATGTTCCATGACCACAGACATGTCCTGTGATATAACATAAAAGTCTTATTGAAGTCTTGTTTTGGGATATTAATACAACCCCTGAATGTAGTAGAGGGAGGTTCTGCTCTTTGGTTCTTAAAAGTGGACACTCAACCAAAAGAAGGACAGAGATATGGGCATGATAGGCAAGGCAGTTGTTCCTTGCAACAAATGTACCCAAGGTCCAGAAACTGCACAGATCTTCAGCATTCCAAGAAGACAAAACAAAACAACGTTAGCCCTCTTAGTTGTTTTGAGGTTTGACTTTTCATTATGAGCACAATTCCAACTCTTTTCAAGCCACCCTGAAAAGTTTCATGTTAACACATGGCACATCTTGGCAGAGGTGAGCAGAGCTCATCTCTTTACCTGCTCTTTCCAGTTTCATGAGCCATTGTAACAGTTCTGAGAAAATAAATAAATGCCCATATGCCCAGAAAGGACGTCAAACAACAGAGTGAGTTGTGTTCCCTCTCCACTGGAATCATAAATCACACGCTTGAACCTCAGCTTAGCAGGTTAGTTAGAAAGTCGAACTATGACAGCAGAATAGTATCCTGTGATTGTTAGGTAGGATATCAACTTTTCTTATAACCAGAATACAAAACTGCTTAAGTAACCAAAGAGTGACCTGTTGAAGAGGACATGGGAGCCTGAGAGACACATGGTATTGGACACAGTGGCATTCACTCAGTAATTTAAGCTATTTCTGAGGGAGGATTAGTGTGGAGTCGTGCACACCCATCCCCAAAACTGAGATGAGTGGGAACCCACAGTGCTAGCATTGCACAGGCTGAAGCGAAGGAGGATGAGAAACTGTCGATTAGGGGTATTGACTGATAAGCCAGTGGTGCAATTGGCATTAACATGACATTACCATTGTCCCTGCAAACTTAATTTTCTCAGGCCACTCTTTCTCCATATCACTGCACTCCCCTTTTCCAGCTGGGAAAAGCAGTCTCCAGTAGGTACCTATCCTATGCTCCCCAGCTCAGCTTTACAAGATAAACAGGAATTTTTGTTTTGATGTTAATTTTGTACCTCTACTTGACAGTATCTCCGGTGGAGCCTACATGGCTAGTCCCTTCAGTGTTCCTACATACACATACACTTCCCTTCTGTAGTGTGGAACAACCTCTTACACTGTATGGCAGCTATCTCTAGCTAACGACCATAACGTCCGCTCAGCTGAACCCACAGCTATATAACCTTTGCCTGTAAAGACATTTTAGACTGGTGTCATTGTACTTAAAAAGTTGGAATAATTTGAGTTTTCTCATCTGCCTCTCCGAAAGAGGAAAGAAGTACCCTGGTGCCTCCCGCAAATGGCAAGGGAGGTTAAGTTGCAACAGGCTGAGAGTGAACTCCTGTCATCACCCCCACTCATTCCAGAGGCTGAAATAATTATTCCAGGGATGTCCTGCCTTGGTCAATTCAATCAGCAGGGATTTGTGTGATACAGTTTTTCCAGTGCTATTGCAACTGCTTGGGTTTTGCCTTTTTGGGCTCAGCTGTAAAGAAAAAAATTTAAGCTTAACTGTCACATACCCAGTCAAAATCTACTCCTTTCCAACCAGTTTAAAAGGCTGGAAAACCACAGGTGACTCGCTCTCCTCTGGTCAGTGCACCTGGTCGGGTGAAACCCTCAGAGAATTAGTAGGTGTGACTCCCACCACCCTTCGCTTACGGTAACTACAGGGTCTGTCAGGCACACGTCCATCCCGAACAGGGACACAGGCATACAAGACAGGAATTCGGGTTGTCAGGGAGCAGGCATCTGGCACGATAACGTCAGAAAAGAAGCTGGATGTGTATGCAGGTTTGTATGCTGTACAGAGGAACAGGTCATAAACGTGAGCAAGGACCAAAAAGTCAGATGCACTCTAAGAGGCAATGCAGAGGAAGAGTAATAACAGCGTTTCAGGAACAGGGCTTAAAAACTGAGGGTCTGTTTCGTATTTCTTTCCCTTTTCGTACTGTGATCGAGGAGGTGGACAGTCTCTGCGAAAACAAGAATACTGGAGAAATCCGACCGCACCATTTCTCCTCCAAACCGCAGGGACCCCGTTTCTGCGTAATCCCTTCAGTTATACGAGGGTAACAGCTACGGACTAGAGATC